TAGGTAGATGCTACGAAAGTCTACTGACACTATAAACCCCTGCGCAAGTCATCGTCCCTGCTCCCATCGCTGCTGTGTACAACATAATGACTGTTGTATACGAATATTACTCAAGTATGATGACAATATCAGTAAAGACATGCCCGTGATTTGCCGTACTTCCATGCAGGACGCAGCGTATAGCCTTGCGCACCAAATGCGGTGAGATGGATGCAAAGAGCAGTGTCACGTCGAAGAACATTATCGCCTCTTGAAGCTCCACTTTGGCTCGCGGGAATTATTGAGGAGTTGAGATGCCGATTTTACTGACTTCCCGGCTGACTGGGCTGCCGCCTAGGGCTACGAGTAGTCGAGGCAAAAGGTGGGATTTGTGGATTTGGGTAACCCCTAGCATCTGGCTGGCGCTCTGCCAGTTGGCTCGATTTAATTTCATTTGCCCTGCCCATACCTGTGCTGAGTAAGAAGAAGAGACCGGGCTAGATCGCAGTTGGTAGCCAGAAATGGGGAAGCGGACGGCGACCTTAACCCTAATCCTAACCTTAAAACGAACCCTAACCCTAAACCTTAACTGTTAACCCTAACGTCAACCGTAGCCCTAACCTTAACCGACATCGTAAAAGCAACCGTAGCCCTTAGACATAGCCGTACCTTGAAAACCTAACCATAATACTGAAACCTAATCGTCCTCTCGAACCCTAAACGTAAGCCGAAAACCTAAGCCTAAAGGCATAACCCTAACCCGAAAATCGGAAACCATTAAACGGTACCCTACTCGTAACCTCAAACGTATAACGGAAGCCAAATGGGTCAGATGTGATTATGGAGCCCCATAAAATAGTCCCAGTAAACAAACCCCCGCCACCGCTACTGCATGCCTATGATAATTAACTGCCCACCCGCTTAATCGACGATTGTTGCCCGTTGGTGCGCTAATGGCCTATTACCCGGCATGCAACCTGTTAATTGCTGAAATATCATCAGTCGTGTTGGATGCTGGCGTGATGATTGCTCCGCCAGCTGGCTCACCGGCCTACGGGCAGGGCGCGCAAGCATGCACAAGGATTGCATCACTCGCCATGATCTGATGCCGTCTCTGATATGAACCTGAAATGTCAGTCGGACAAAGTTCGCATTTCCTCGGTTGCGTCTCCTCCGCCTTCCTGAAATAAAATATTTAAACACATGATTGGACCTTGGCCTTCAAATATTATTTCTCATGGAGAGGTGGTAGGAAGTAGAGAGCATGTATGTACAGGGACAGACACAACCGGTCTTTGCTCTGCACTGATCCAGCCAACTCCGCTATAGGATGTAGATCACCTCTCCACACCGCTTGAATGTCAATATGCTTCTACTATAATAATTATCGTCTTGCCACGTCTCACACTGATCTGGTGGCAACTGGCCAAAACCCATCTCCCCAACGCTAAGCAAATTTTTGCATTTTCGAACGCGACTACGCAGCATCATGATGGCTTGTTGTCTAAAATCAATGCCAGATGTTATATCTCAGTGTATCTGTTACCGGTTGTAAACATGGGTTCTTCATGTTAACCTGGAAATTGCTGGTTCGGTTATTTGAATGTGCCACTACGAGACTGCGAGACGACTAACTGGTAGCGTAAGTGCGCAATTGACTTCGCACACGAAACCTGAACGGAAGAGTGCAGTTTATGCTAAAGTCCCAGCAGCTCCACCAGGATCAGTCTCCTAACTGGTTCAATGCCTTTATGGCGCATGTCCAGTGGGAAAGTGGACATGAGCGCAATGCTGATCGTCCTCTGGATATGTCACCGTCTTGTCTAAAACACCGCGTCAATATTCACAACGGACTGCAATCCATCGCCAGTCTCATCAGCCATTGAGAATAGTTCTGTTTGCGGATCATCGTCAGAGGCACCTTCTGGCTCATAGAGGCCGAGCAGTAATTTCGGTGCCTGGGGCGACCAGCCGACTGGTTAAGGAAATTGCAGCCGTTAGCGAACTCCACCGTGTGTTGCACAGACTAAACGCAGCACTGACGAGGTTCGCGTGAATCAGTTTATTGTGAGGCATACCTGCGCAACATGCATCCCACTCCCTCCCTCCCACACTCACCGGACCCCGATGGAAAGACAATGTCCAGATGACCGGAGGTGGGATCGGGCGAAGTGGTGGACAGAACTACAAACAGTCCGCCTTTGCGTTCGCTGACGCGACCCGGTAGGGCATCACGTTGCGTGAAAGAACATGCACCACACAATCTTGAACGATGCATGTCCCGTCCATGTGTCGGGTGATGTGGAGTGATGTGATGCTGTATGAAGACAGTACATATTTTGCCGCGTTCAACATTTCCGTCATCACTCCAAGGGATGCCATTGCATCTGTTTTCGTTTCAGTGCGAATCCGACGACGATGCACCAGTGAAGCCAGTACAGCATCGGTTTATGCAAAGGCACAGCGACAGCGAAGACGAGAAGCGAAGGACAAACGACAGAAGGAGACCAGTAATGTACTCCCTCGAAGGCAGACCACAATCGAGGCTCCATGAAGAACCAAGTCGGTACGAACACGATAGTTCGACCGTCGTTGTCGACGATGTCCACCTTGTGCTCCACAGCAACTTGAGAGCAGGGGATGGTGACTTGAGCCCTGAATTTGTTTATAGTTATAGCAGACTTGCACAGCGTCTATTGCCCTCCCTCTCTTCCCCCTCCCTGCCTGGACCCCGTGTCAAGACAGAGCCAAGTAAACTGGGGACGTGGGGAGGGGGACGCAGGTGGATGACGCGGTTGGGCCCGCACCCTTGCGCCCCACTCCACACCCCTGCTCCACACAACAACAGCAGATTCTGAGGAATGCCTCCGAAGAACCGGAACCAGAGACGTTGGCGTCCGTGTCGCCCATCACGGGAAATGACATGGGTCATAAAACCCCCAAGCTATCGCAAAAAACTCCAGACTTTGATGAAAATGCGAACAAAGCAGAGACGAATGAGGATCTCAATCGACTGCAGCTTATGTCCTCGTTAGATCATGGCAACCACATATTGCCTTTGTCGGAGCACGAAACCACTCTGTTCTCGAGAGTGTCGCCGGTGAGAGGGCAATGTCCGATTATTCAGGGACTTCCCGAATCCACAGCTAGTGCCTCCAAAGAGCGGGTTTCGGCAGACCTGCAACTCTTCCAATGCCTACTCAACGAACTTCTGCGCCCCAGTGAGGAAGTTTCGGTTCTCAAGGCCTTTAGGCTTGGAAAACGCTCAATCGACATATCAGACCATTCACGTCCCCGACCACTCAAGATTGTGTTAGCCAACCAAGAACACGTAGGACTTATTCTCTCACGACGATTCCGAATCAAAGACACCAACCGCGGCGTCTTTTTCAGCCGGACTACACACCGGCAGAGAGAATAAAACGTCGACAATTAGTTCTGGAACTGAGAACAAGGTTGCAGAATGGCGAGACGGATCTCGTGATCTACAAAGACCAGATAGTGCAGCGCCCTCCCCTAATCCGTTGGACCGAACCGATCCGGATGAGGGCACAATAGCTTCCTTAAATGGAATCTCAAGCGGCACCATAATCAAACGCCCCAAAACACTGAAACTAACATTTTTTTACACCAACGTGCAGAGTATATTGCCCAAGTTAGACGAACTGAAGATCCACATCTGTGACCTATCCCCTGACGTTGTCTCTTTGACAGAAACCGGGCTGTCTGAAAACGTGGATGACGGCGAATTAATGCTACCAGGATTTCAGTTGTTTCGAAGAGACAGGAGAGAGCCTCAAGAAGGAGGAGTCGTCACGTACGTAAAACACGGCCTGCTTGTGTCAGAAAAAACAGAACAATTTTCATGCAGCACCGAGACTATCTGGCTCACTATAAGGGCACCAGGATCACATAGCCTTGAAGTTCTGACCGTCTATCGATCACCGAGCAGTGGCCCCGAGGCTGACGCTCGTCTTTTAGAGGAGCTAGGACAATTTGCTCTCCGGCCTGAGGTCCTGATCATGGGCGACTTCAATGCACCGCTCATTGACTGGAGTTTTCTATACGCGCGCGGCCCAGAACTAGCTTTCGACCGACGCTTCTTGGACATGGCACTCAGGTCATTTCTCACACAGCACGTCCTATTTCCCACGAGGGTCCGTGAGGGGTAGCAGTCAAACTGCTTGGACCTGGTGCTCACGAAATCGATGGACAGCATAGACGAGGTACAATGTCTGTCTCCCTTAGGTCGAAGCGATCACGTCGTACTCCAATGGACTATTCAATCTTTTCCGTGCCTGAACAGCCCACCAAAATTAAAAGAAATATTTGGCGTGGGGACTTCGATCAAATGAAGGCCGAAATCAACAATACGGACTGGGAATCAGCTTTTTCCGGAAATATAGCGGAGGATTGGAAATGGTTCAGTGAATTATTGCATGTTCTCCTGACAAACCACTGCTCGCTTTCACGGAAGGGGCTAAACAATCGACCCCGGTGGCTGACCCAGGCGTTAAAAAAGGAAATAAATAAAAAACGGAGATTGTGGCAGAAATCTCTTACTGATGGGACTCCTGTATTCATAAACGCATACAAAACACAGAGGAACTTAGTCAAGCGGCTGACCCTCAGGATACGGCAAAACTTTGAAAAAGACCTATTGAATCGTGCTATGGAAAATCCAAAATTATTCTACAGCTACATAAGAAGCAGCACACGAAATAGAGATCCAATCCCTCTTCTGANGAAATATAGCGGAGGATTGGAAATGGTTCAGTGAATTATTGCATGTTCTCCTGACAAACCACTGCTCGCTTTCACGGAAGGGGCTAAACAATCGACCCCGGTGGCTGACCCAGGCGTTAAAAAAGGAAATAAATAAAAAACGGAGATTGTGGCAGAAATCTCTTACTGATGGGACTCCTGTATTCATAAACGCATACAAAACACAGAGGAACTTAGTCAAGCGGCTGACCCTTAGGACACGGCAAAATTTTGAAAAAGACCTATTGAATCGTGCTATGGAAAATCCAAAATTATTCTACAGCTACATAAGAAGCAGCACACGAAATAGAGATCCAATCCCCCTCCTGAAGACAAGCGGAGACGTAGAGATTAGTGACGATGGAGAAAAAGCTGAGCACTTTTCACAATTTTACAAATCCATCTTTACTAGTGAAAGTCCATTTACTCCCCCCGACTACGACTTCGATGAGGGTCCAAAAATTGAGTCTGTATCTTTTGATGAAACGACGGTTCGCAAAGAGCTAATGACGCTAAATGAGTCGAAATCACCAGGTCCAGACGACATACCGCCTAAGTTACTGAAGGAGCTCGCTGCCAAACTAGCCAAACCATTGTCCATGCTTTTCCAAGCCTCGTTCGAAGCCGGCTGCTTGCCCGCCGACTGGAAATCTGCGCGGATCACACCACTGCATAAAGGAGGCAGCAAGGCCTCTGCAAACAATTACAGGCCAATTAGCCTCACCTCAATCTGCTGCAAACTCATGGAGAAAATAATCAAGCGAGAGCTAATGCGCTTCCTAGAGCAGCATAATTTATTATCTGATGCGCAGCATGGGTTTCGTAGTGGCAGGTCTTGCGTGACTAACTTGCTCAACTGTTGGGAACGTTGGACTCGGTCAGTTGATGAAGGCAGTGCGCTGCATGTAGTCTATATCGACTTTAAAAAGGCATTTGATAGTGTCCCACATCAGCGACTCCTGCACAAACGGAACGGAACAGGCGTTAGGGGTAACATCTTAAAATGGATTCAAAGCTTCCTATTAAACCGTTGTCAAACTGTCCATGTCGGTGGCCAGCAGTCCACGGAGGTTGCCGTTGAAAGCGGTGTTCCCCAAGGCTCAGTTCTTGGCCCTACTTTGTTCATTATTTACGTCAACGATTGCGTGAGTGAACTGGATTGTGGTGTCGCCATGTTTGCGGATGACATTAAGCTCTGGAGCGTCATTCGAACTGCAGATGACGAAGAGCATTTGCAGGCGAACCTAAACCGACTCCAACAGTGGTCAAAGGACTGGCTTCTGCCGTTTAACGAGAGAAAATGCAATATTCTACGAGTCGACAGTGCTCGCTCTCCGAACCATATGGCCTACTGCCTAAATGGCATACCACTGCACGAAGTGGACTCGCAGAAGGACTTGGGAGTATGGATTACGCCGTCGCTAAAACCCTCGCTCCACTGCACGAAGATAGCCAAGTCTGCAATGTCAGTACTCTACCTTATCAAGCGGGCTTTCTATGCCTTTGACGAAGACTGCTTCGCTAAAGTCTTTCGAACTTTTGTGCGTCCGCAACTAGAATTTTCTATCCAAGCTTGGAGACCCTGGACCGCGAAGGACCTCAGCATCCTTGAAAGGGTTCAAAGGCGTGCAACGAAACTTGTGGCAGGACAGGGTTCACTACCATATGCAACGCGGTTAGCTAACCTTGATCTCTTTCCCTTGAGTTACAGGCAGTTACGGGGTGACCTGATACAAGCCTTCCGTATCATACGCGGTCAGGACTGCAGTCTCGTACCGGGGACTACTTCGAGTTAGCAACCACCACAAATCTACGAGGTCATCCATCCCTGTGGCCCCTCCGCTGCATGTGTGATCGGAGCCTGAGACTGTCAGGGCACGTTGCCGATAATGATGACCCGTAAGACTGCCAACTGCCGATGGAACTCAAGCCTTGCATTCAGCCCAACGTGCGTTTGTGCGTAGTGGCAGACTGGTGGACCGAGAGTCGGGCTGCAATGCCTCCTTCTCAACGTGACCTCTGACACTTTCACAACCACACATCCACCCACCCACCCGAAGTAAACAAACCCCAGCCATCTGTAATACGAGACCGGTGGTAGGGTCATTACCCTTCCTTCCTTAGTTAGGTCTACTACCGTACCGAGTGTCTAACTTTCAAGCTACCTTCGACAACCTCAACGACAGACACAGACACAATCAACTTGCCTGGAGGGACAGCTCGCGGCGACTGCTTGCAGGGCCTTCTGTACGCACCTCCTCGGCAGGAAATATTGTCTAACCCTATCCGTCTTCCCTGACTTCTGAATTGGGAAAATTTGTCCTGTCGTCGACCATCGTGAACTCTCGATTCAGCCTCAAATTGCACCAGTGGTGACCTCCGACGTCCACGCTGCTAACACTTAGCTTCTGGCGTATATTTACCTTCTCTGTGTTCTGTTTCCTGATTTTGCCTTCAACGATGTCTCCCACGGCACCCGCAGATGCTGCTATTTATCTCCGTGGAGTCACTGTGTCCCTTCTAGAATTTAGGCAGCAGGCCCCAGAACTCTACTTCTTCCGCATCGGGGCCACCGTTTTATCTGCCAGGACAACTCAGACTAACTGAGGTTCTTTCCCTCCCCCGCCAACCCACCATCTTCTCAGATGTTTAAACTTTCTTATGCGACCCTCCCACTGATGCTCCTTACACCGAGCCCCTTCGACTCGCTCCAATTTCTGATCGTCAACGCAACCACGTACTCTTATCAGAAGAAAAAGAAGAAGAAGAGGCGGAAGGTTTGGGCGACCGCAAGCCCTCTGAACTTCTCCGCTTCAAAGCCCATAAAGGCTTACCTAATGACTTGCAATATAGACATGAACGACTTGACCGCCTTCGCGCAGTTCAGTATTGGCTAGAATGAGGATGTGATCCACACACCCAAATACTTCTGCCTATCAACATGCTGCAATGGTGTACCGTTTAGAAAGTAATTCCTGGGCTTGGAGTCTCTGCAGCTGCCGTGTTGAACAAAGTTGTACTTACTTAGGTTGGAGGGCATAAGTCAGCGCTTCGACCAGTCCCCGAGCCTGCTCAATATGTGGGGTCAAGGATGTAACATCAACTATAATCACACACAATAAGTTCGTTCTGTCTACTGTCAGAAGTCGAGAGATAGTGAGAACTGGCTTATTTTGTACACAGGCCATATTGCCGTGAGTTGGCTTTTTTCTTGTGGTCAGAGGAAAGCGTCCGCTCAGGAGAGCGGAAGTCGTGATGTGAGGTTTTTTGCGTCGACGTCACATGTCCGTGTCAGTATGAGGGAATGTGTAGTTGAGTGCAGGACATGTGATTGAATGGTTAAGGGGCGGAGTCGGAGGTGCATGATGAGAAGTGCGCGCACGGGTAACCAGCGGGGAGGTTCGAAGCGAGTGAGAAACTGTGTGCGCAGACGTGATCCATTGACGGTGAGAAAGAGGCGGCCCAGCACAGGCCCGAGGGATTGCCGTGTGTCAGCGGAATGCCTGTTGTCGCGG